GGACATGGTAGTAGTTAGTCTTTAGGATGGAATCTGAATTACTGATCTCTCAATAAAACTCATGTAAATGAGACACAAGATACCCAGGATGTGCTGTAGCAGTCTGGCTGTAATTATTGACACTGATGCTAACCAGCAACGCTGTCACAGAAATGAAAGCAGTTTGAGGTTTTCCTCTTTCTTGGCACCCATTTTGACCTGGTATCACCAGGAATCCTAAGCATTTCAAAACTGGAAGTGAATATGAAGTATTCTGGATTTCTCTTTCTCTCTTAACTCTCCTGCCACTCCCCCTATTTAATTTTTAGAAACTAATTTAATCTTGAAGCACATCAAATTAATCTAGTAAAAATGTTCTTTGACACTTTAGTATATTCAAAGTTATCAGTTTAAAGATAAAAAGAAAATTAGTAGCTTATTTGACTAATATCTTTTGCCTTATCCAGGGCAATTAACTGCTCAGCTAGGAAGCTGAGAAACTTATATTTTTTGGGAAGAAGATCTATTATGTCAAAGTATGTTTAATTGTAAATGCCAAAACATAGCAGAGCATCAGAAAACATTCCAACTAGGCAAACACGACCTGTGATAGAAGTGGGGGGTTTTGTAGGTGCAGCCCTATATAGTTTTGTTTTGCCCAAGCAGAAATAAAGCTATGCTAAGAAGTCAACATGAACATTTGAGGACGCATGGATTACGTTTCAGAGATCTGGGTTTTAAATTTGTGTAAGTCTTCTATGGCTTAGGTCATAGACTAAGATGCCTAACCTTGCTACAAGCTTTGAGGAGAGCTAGACCTTGAACAGGGAAAGACTGTCATGTCAATTCTGTCCCGTTGGCCCACAGCTTTAGTAAGAATTCGACTTAAAAAGTTTCAAAATATGATGGCATACCATAGCACCTTGGAAATCATTTAGTAACTGCAGATGTACTCAGTGACTCATCATGAGAAAATCCCATTTATGCTCCAGCAAAACAAAAGGATAACATTGTTGCGTATTTTTCAGCGATACCCAGATTAGGTTTACAGACCGAGTGAAGACTGGTGTCACCGGGGAACAGATCTGGTTGCAGATCAATGAACCAACTCCACAGGACAAAGGCAAATACACAATGGAACTCTTTGATGGTAAAACAGGACACAAAAAGACAGTGGATCTTTCTGGACAAGGTAGGCCATTCCCTCCACTAACACCTCCTGCATGTAGGAATTACACCGTGGTAGGGTAGGAGCATCTACAGCAGGATCTTGCTACAGACCTGTTACCCTTGGGGTTGTAGGGTCTGTGTGTGTACCCAGCAGCCTGGCAGTGTTTGTGGGGACAGTGCAATTTGTTTTCCCCAACCTGTGCTCTCGGGTCATAAGTTACGAACAGCTTTTTCCTATTCCGAATACCACTTACAGTTTGCCTACTGAGACGTCAGCCCAGTTTCTGAGCTGTCTTACAAAACTCCTTGTGTTGTTGGCATTGATTGGCAGTTTTAAATACAAGTTGTAGCACTGAATGCCTTCTGTATCTCTCCCTTCCAAGTAATATTTGGAGGAGGAAGTGAGGGACAAGTTTGTTCTGTTACTTTCCTGCTGCATTTCTTTGATGGATATAATAGGCCTCCTTATTCTTCAGAGATGTCAAGACTGGTCCCTTTCATCAGCACGATGAAGGAATGTTAGGGGAATAGCTAAAATTATATTTGGATTGACTTTTGGAAGCTTTTACTCTGAGAGACCTCTCAGATCCTAGGGAACAGATGAACTCCTCCTGAATTGCTGAGTTTCCATCCGCTGCCTTTCCCATCCCTAAAGTTTCACTTTGGGTGTGCAAGCTCTGCGTAAGGGCAATACCTTATAATCATCTACATGTTGCTCCTTCCTATCCCCACTTTCTGAGAAAAGAGATTTCTTCTTCCCTTTCAAAGTGCAGAAGTTAACCTCCCACATGACGGTAGCTTAGCCTGGATTTACGAAGGAGACAGCAGTTTGCTGTCTGGTTTGTTCATGGCCATCAGTGTGATGCTTCAGAGCAGATGTGAAAAGCACTTGGAAAAAACAGATCTCTTGTATTCCATAAGCCAGTGGTCTCCAAAGTGGGGTGTGTGCAAGATGATCTACTGCAGTGTGGGAGGAAAATATGAGAACTTCAGTAGTACATCTATAGAGTTTATAAAAAAATAAATGTACATATATTGGGGTTGCATGGTCAAAAGATTTTTACCTATAGGGGTGCACGATCAAAAAAGTTTGGAAGACCACTGCCATAAGCTATCATTTAGGTGGTGTATTGTGGGTTTCTTCCTCTGTTTTGTGAGATAATTTCAGCCTACTGGTCTCCCGCTATCTCTTTGTCTTAAAACCTGACTTTTAGAAGAAAAAATAGTGTGTTTATGAATTCATATGTATATATAATAGCTGCCATATACAAGATGGCCTTTATTAGTTAAGCCATCCAGCATCCATACATTAATATTTCTTTAACAATGTCTACATTTTTAATTTAGTTCTACATTCCAAATTTAAACTTGTGATAATTTTTCTCTGAACCTACCTTTAAAATCAACTTTTCTCTTTACAAAGCATTTGATGAAGCCTTTGCTGAGTTCCAGAGATTAAAGTAAGTATTATACCATCTAAATACAGTAATGGCAGCCATAAAATAATACGAGTATTTGTTTGTTTTGTGCTGGAGCTAAATATATCCTGTGAAACAAATCCTAGTCCTAGAGAAGTCTGTAGGAGTTTTGCATGTGACTTCTTTGGTGCAATTCTTATATAACAGTTAGGTAACGAAGAATAAGCAGTATTGCCAAATGATGAGAGACGTTTTCCTTAACGGATTAAAGGCAATTAAAAAGATAAGCTATTTTTCAACCCCTTTAAGTAAACCTAACTGAAATTGGACTTTCTTTTTGTTTCTTTCAACTCCAGGCAAGCTGCGATTGCAGAGAAAAGTAAGTGGGCCTTCTTTAACAGTAGTTGCAATAAACAGTTTATGAAGGTTTTCTTCCTCTCCAGGAAGGTTGTGTGTTGGGAGAAAGAGGGCATGTATACATGTGTATGTGCATGTGCTCATCCTAAGATGAATTTGTCTTTGCACCAAGGGGAAGCAAGGAGAGTGACCTTTTAGTGATTTCACATTGGTGCACATTGCAGCTAATACCACTGTAATTATGGGTTATGTTGATTTTTCCAGTCTAAGCTCCTGTTCTCATTACCAGCTAGCCTTCTCTAAAAATTATCTTTATTGCTGAGATCTCTCATGCATATTCTCTGCACAAAAGTCACTTTGTTTTCAAAGATGGAGGAAATCACTTGGCTAATTTTGAACTATCTAAAATGTCAAATGGCTCTGCATTGCATACAGAGATGGGTAAGAAAGCAACAGGAGCTTTTGCATTGCTTAAAGACTGATCCCTGAACCTCCTGATACTTTTATGTGTGTGTCAATTCCAACATAGCAGCTAAAACAAAAGTATGTAATAATTACTTAGGGACTAAGTCATTAGAATGCAACTTGAATTAATAAGCTCAATATTCTCCCTATTTACAGAAAAATGCATGGAAAAAATGTAACACATCAAAAAGTTCTCCCACTGCAGATCACTTTCAGACCTGTGTAAAAACAAGGGCAGAACTGGCATTTGAAAAGTTATTGGAGAAAAATATGTAGAGAGATCTGAGCTAACTCCTTCTGGACATACACTCCAAATAGAGTGGGGTTTGGAAGTGTACAGTGATCCCTACGAGTCCCAGCTGTGATGGCACAAAGGGATCAGTAATAGCGCTGCCCTGGGCATTTCATTTCTAACCCTGGACCATTCATAAAGGGCTGGCATGTTAACTGACATAACACAGTCCCGTTCCTGGTCTCATAAGGTTGTTACCTCTGTGCTCCAGAACACATCTTTTAGAGACTACATTAGAGGGGAACATTCTGCACAGTCATTTCCTTCTTCTGCCAGGCTCCACCGAGACTTATAACAAACCAAATCCATACTCCAGAAGAAGCGCACCAAAGTCTGCATGTGATCAGCATATTTGTATTTATGTAAGACTCCTATGGGACTTTGAGCTTAAAACTAGATCAAATATTGATCTCATTTACACCCAGATACGTACAAAGTGGTGGAATTTCAGTGCTATCACTGAGACTGTCTTTGTATTTAGATCAAAACCTAATTAGTTTTAAACTGAAGAAGAATAGATTTAGGCTAGATATAAGGAAGAAATTTTTTACAGTGAGGGTGGTGAAGCACTGGAACAGGTTGCCCAGAGAGGTGGTAGAGGCCCCATCCCTGGCAACATTCAAGGTGAGGTTGGCTGGGGCTCTGAGCACCCTGCTCGAGTTAAAGCTGTCCTTGCTCACAGCAGGGGGGTTGGGCTAGATGACCTCTAAAGGTCCCTTCCAACCCAAAGCATTCTGTGGTTCTATGATTCTAATCTCCGCCACTTTATTAGCTTTCATTAATTTCCTTTTGGAAACACAACATCTTTAGGGTACAACACTAAAAGTTTAGAGCACCAGATCTCAAAAATTCAGATTTTTTTTTGTGCACTTAGAAGTAACACTGAATTGATGACAAAATCTGCAGGACACAGCACATGTACTTTAATTCCCCTCTGTGATTGCCACCAGCTATTAACACATCTTTTGCTGTGAATTCAAGGTTCTTTAAAGTCCAAATGGTGTGCTAAGAATGCCAAATAGTTCTCTGCTAGCACAGATATCAGAGACAAGTTGTACATAAATAAGATAGCATGAAAGAACTAGGGGGGAAACAGAATCTGGGACACAGTTGATTTTGAGACAGTAAAGAAAATTACGCTTATTTATTTCCAGATCGTGCACGGGTACTTGGAGGTTTGCCCGATGTTGTCACCATCCAGGAGGGCAAGGTACAGTAAATTAACTGATGCTTTACACAACAGCCCAACAGCTTGAATGCCTTTCAATCATGGGAAAATATTCACCTTTTTGTTAAAGATTCCATCTTTAAAATCTGCTACACTGTTTATTCATCCCCTGCCTTCTGTACATAATTCAACAGTCTTGCACAGATGGGTTTATGTATTCAGGGCAGTGCCTTTTCATAAGCATTAGATAAAAGTGAGATGACAATGTGAGCTGAGACTAAAACTCCTTATATAACCAGCTCCTTAAAAATTCATGCACAGGTTTCTCAGATTTTTTTGTAACAGGCTATCAGAGAAGTTTAATTCCTTATTTACAAGATAGCTAGTCATTCTATGTCTTACGCAGTTAACTTCCTCGCAATGTGGCAAGACAGTCACCCCTGTCAAGGCTGGCTTTTAAATGGTGTAAAACTAGTAAACCATTCTAACTCAATTCTCTCCCAGACAAAAGGAGTTAGTTTTCTCTATTTCCTCAGGGTAAATGGGAAGGAAGTCAAATGAAGTCACTGGTGTTACACTGGATTATTTTAGCAGAGCTTAGCTGGAAGATTATTGTAAGGCAATCCCAGAACATGGCTACATCGATGCTTGAGCACAGAGCAGAAGACCCAGAAAGTCATTTCTCAATCTTGCAACCTTTTCCCAGCATGCTGCTTCTACAAGTTGCTGCATAATAGTTCTGAGACCAAGAAGTGCCTACTCTCCACTTCCCACTGGTCTGCCACTAGCCGGTTCCTCTTCACAGTGTGGGTGAATATTGAAATAGGGCATGTGAATGTCATTGGAAACCTGTAACTTGACAACTACAGCAAAGCAACTTCCTGGTAGTTCTGGCTTTATCTGGCAGTAGGTCAGCTGAGTTAAAAGTATTTGATTATAAGCTGAGCAGAACTGCTAAGAATCTAAAACCTTGGTCTGAATCGCTTAACAATGCGTGATATAGCATAGCCAAGAGATAGTAGACTGCAGCACTTCTGGCAAAATTAAGAACGCTGGCATTACAAAATGAGCTAACATTTGATTAAACCTGTCATTAAAGGATTTAGCAGTTTGGGAAATGCTGTAAGATGCACTCATATGAGCATTGTGACTGTAGGTAGAAGACACAAAGAAACAATGAATTTGCAGATTCTCAGCTAATATTGCTTGTGGTTGGAGATGAGATTCTGCCAAAAGAGAGTTGATATGAAGTTGAGTATGAGCTCACTGAAGCAAAATATGTAGAGTTTATAAAAAGGGAGTTTGTAAAAAATGAGTTGCAAAAGCTTACCCAGACACACGTTGTCCTTGACAGCAAGGACTTTTGTCATGTTTGAATAAGTGACTGAAAAACTCCCAGAACTCGAGACAAATATCCTTGACCTTATGTTTCTGGATTCAGTAGATGATCGTTTTGAGAAACAGAGTAGGACAGAGAGTGATCAGGGAAAACAGTGCTTGTTTGGGTGGTGTTGGCTCATCTGTCTATTGTTTGCATATATGCCAGAGAGAAGGGAATGTGGTTCTCTGTTGTGTAATTCACGCAAATTGCACAATCATCAAGGATTTTGAAAAACAGTAAATGATGTAGCAGAGGACGGGCAATTGCAAGCTTTGATTTTGAATACAAGTGCAGCCATAACTAGAGAGTTATATGAACAGATTGGTATCCCTAGGTTGAACTTCCAAGCATATGCATGTCTTAAACTAAAACTTAATACCGTGACTGTGATACTATTTATTAGCTTTTTACATGTGAGCTGAAGGATATGTGTGAGAACGAATGAACCAGTGTTTACCCAGTGTTAATCAAACAGCATTCCAGATGGCCTAAGAGGCTTCCACTGATAGACAGAAATGCTCTTCAGCAGTGTGATATAATTGGAAAAGGCTGTCAGTTCATATTAGGGAGGAATTTGACCTGACAGAGAATACTAGCATAAGTTTTGTGTACAGCCAGCCAAATTAACCTAAGTGGTTGTTTTAATGAAGGCCTGTAAGTGAGTAAGGGGTTTTATTTTTAAAAGGAGAGGCTTAGGATTCTGACAGGCAGGCACTTTCAGACCTAGAAGCAACATGTTGCATCCTTCTGCCCACCAACTCCCCATTCTACCCTTCTGCCAGGGGCAGGTGCCCTCATGGGTAGGCTGGAAGAAGGGAGCAGGTCGCCTTGATTGAGCAGCTTCAATTCCCTGTCATCTTAGCCCAAACCACTCATGAATGTGAGTTTGTGCTAATATACAAGAGGAATGGCAATACTTGAAATACAATGACACATTTCCCTCTGCCACCTGTACTACCCTACTGATGATAATCTGCAGTGAAAGGCTCCAAGTGGACATGCCTCTGTGCCCCAGGTCCAGACTTGTTACGGGAACTTCTGTGTGGGCCTCTGAAATACTGAGATCCAGCTCAAAGAGATGGGGTGTACTCACCCAGATAGATCAGGTTTCCTGATAGATTTCATTCACTCACCACAACATCTAAACAGCTTTACAGTCCTTTTCCCCACCCCCCTGCCCCAGACAATCATCAGAGTCAGACAACTAATGGAAAAGGGGGATTAGCTTGAAGATAAAAGGTGCCTCTTCCCCACAGGAGTACAGGACACACTTTTTTACCAGGATAAGGGTTTCAGGTTGAATACAGCGTTATAGTCAGGGGTTTTGGTAAGTAATAAAGATATACATGAGCAAAGACAATCTCCTGCCCAAAGAACAGAAAATCTGAAACAGCAGGTGCAGTTACAGTGGGCAGTCACTCCTCCTTGATTCAGGCTCCATAATTATGGAATTACGTTCCAGAAAACCAAAGATCTCACCATCTACATAGTGAATGATAAGATACGTCTCTGCACATTAGTAGCTGGAAAATAAATAATAAGAGTTGGGAACATCAAGAGGAGCACCAATGTCAAACAGGAGCTAGTGATGCAAGGTTAAGCAAAATACAGCTATTTTAATGAATAATTTAGAAGAAGAATAGTCATCACTGCTGCTTGAATTTTTTTTTAATTAAGGAGTACTGATACCACTTCAAACACCCAAGGTTTGAATGATGCCACTAATAGAGCTATCTGGACATGGACATCAGCTCAACAGCATCTTGGAGTGGCAGCTGGGGCTACTCGGTGGTGATCTCCTGCTTGCTAGAGAATCAGAAGACAATAAAGAAATACCGAGCACCGGAAGGCACCCATATGCAATGCCTTGCCAAGGCTGAGGCTGAGGGAATGTTTGTAGTGAGAGTGATAAGGTTGCGGGGGAAATGTAAAACCTCTCGTTTTCCCCTTGTTTTTCAAAAAGATGGACTGATATGGCAATCAATACCACAATTGCATTCACACCAGTGGGCTACGAGAGAAGGCAGTAAACAGCCCCACGCAGTCACCAGCTGTAGGTGCTGCAGGAAATCAGATAGAGACCACTTCCACCATGCCGTAACCACCTCTCACCTGGAATCTGCCTTTCATTCCGTACCAAGAATTATGTGTTGTTGATGGAGGAAAGACTTCCCCCTCCCCTTTGTTCTCATTTTGTTCCTTAGGTGATGTAGAATTTACTGGATTTTTATTTTGTTGTCAGAGGTACAAAAACCTTTCATTTGTATAGAGGTATCCATTTTTTCTAGCTGCTCATTTCAACAGCCTTCTGGGTGTCTCTCTTCTGTCCCATCTTCCACCATCACAGTACCAGATAAGAAGCAGAGAGGTGAAGGGAAGGTAGCCTGTTAAATAGATTTCTTACAGTAGATTTTTATCATGACAGCCTATAGGGCCAACAATGCGAGTGCTCTTCAGTTGTCTATTTTTGACGTATTTTTATCAAGAGCCTTTAAAAAAAATATTAGAGAAACTTGATTCCAGTCAAGTGGAAGCTTGTCCATTCCTTATGTATCACTTAGTCCATTCCTAATGAACCACTGAATCTCTGCATTAAAAATTCTTCAATTTCCATTTAAAAAAAAAAAAAATCTATTTTGAATAACTTTTTAAGTTTGGACCAATGTACTATTTAATACTTAGACATAAATGGATTCCTTCCTAAATAAAGGTCCAAAGAAAGGCCTATGTATCACTGAAGTTTCATATGAACGTTTTTCACATTTGACTCTCTATGTGATGTGTGTTTTTGCAAATTATTTTGAGAAGATTGCTATGGCACTGTGACCAGAGTAGGGGATCATTTATTTGTATTGGTATCTCCCAAACATCAATTTCTCAGCTGACAACAAAAAAGGGAGGCTTGAACATTGTGTGCACAATAGACTCGCCAGCCTACAGAAAGTATCCAACTGCCAGTGATCTCTCCAACAGCTGACTCTCTGACAATGAAGACACTTCCTTCAATCTGATGGGACTGAATTCAGCCCTTAGGAACATTACTAACATCAAAGGGAAATACTTATACGAACACCAAAGAAAGGGTAAAGCCTGTATTGATTTCAGTTAAAAATAGTTGTATAGGAGGGCATAAAACAATTCAAGTCTGTTTGAAGACCTGTCAGGGCATAGCTGAAAAAGATCCTAAATTAAACAAAATATTCCAGGAACACTTTGTTCTTAGTTATTTAAAAAGGCAGCACTCTTTCTTTACTTCTGTGGTAAATATATAGTGAGCTTAACGTGAACAAATCCACTGATGATTCCTCAAATTCTCATTTTAGGTCTAACACACAAATGCAGATAATATCTGATTTTATATTAAACAATATGCGTGGAGAAAGCTCTACTAATGCTTATGAGAGTAGAGAAGAAGGTCCATAAAATATTGAAAGGTTTTAATGGAGTTTTTGAATTAACTGCATTCCTTCTTTTCCTTTATGATGCAGAAGACTGACAAAAATTATTGATCACTGATGATGGTATGCATCCATTTACTAAAAGCAGGAAGCTAAATGCAGAATGGAACATTTGGAGAGTCAGGCATCAAAAAATACAGCAAATATGTATTGACTCTTACTTATAATCCTTTTGTACTTTTTCTATAGGCACTCAATCTTTCTTGCACTGTCTGGGGAGATCCTACCCCAGAGGTCTCATGGCTGAAGAATGAAAAAACATTTGTATCAGATGCTAATTGCATCCTGAAATATGAATCTGGAAAAAACGTCAGCTTTTCCATTTCTACTGTGTCCACACTCGACTCTGGGAAATACAGCATTGTGGTGAAGAACAAGTACGGCACAGAGACCAGCGATGTCACTGTAAGTGTGTTCATACCTGAGGAAGAGTCTGAGCAAGAGAAAAAGAAAGAAGATAAGAAAGCGAAAGCGTGAATTTAAGACTAGGAAACAGAAGTATGGGGGAGATTTTGGATGATAGGCTGACATAATCTGTGTGTGTAAATGGCTTTCTGCTTTAGCAGGCAGCCTTGGATTTTTCCATTTACTTCACTTTTGCTTCTAATAATACACTTAATTGTGCCAGGGAAAACAGGGCCTTTCCTAAATATTTTCTTACTGCTAACTTGGCAGAACCTCGTTGTAGCATCTTCAGCCAGGCCAAATGCATGCTGGCTGTAAACACAGGTCCACCATTTGACCCTCTTCCCAGAGCATTTGACCATACAACAAAAATGGAAAGTGTGACGAATCATTTCAGTGGAGGCAACTGATGAGGTAGATGGAAAGATAAAAAATGATGGAAGCATTTTTGAGCAGCAGTTTAGATTTGTTCCAACTTTGGTAAAGTAGCATAGATGGAATGCGTTAGAGAATTAAGTCATGGAGAAATTAGTGCTGTTTTTTGTCTACATTAAGGCCCCTTTGTATTGCTGTGTTAATTTAGAGAGGCCTTAATATGGGTGTCATTTGCATCCATAAATATTGTTTAATCTGCCCAATTGGGGTAAAAGTACTGTAACATAAATGAAAATTAGGCTTGGGAGGCCAGAATACTAATGTGTGTGTGTGTGTGTCTGCAAAAATGTATGAACTCTCTTCTATGTTCACAAATAAACTGAATTCACATATTTCCTTCCATCACAAGCTTGTTTCACTGTCTCTTGTTTTACTAGTCACGGCTCTGGTAGTTGTGCACAGTATCTTAGTGTCTTAATGCCTTCACCACTGTAATTACCTCTAGCTTTCCTTTAGATCTCGGTTAATCTTCACTTTACTGTTCACAACAAAACCCACAATGGCATCTCTTCACACCTTTCTGTCCAGACCTTCACTACTTCACATCTCAACTCAACAAGGTATTCTTGCAAATTCAGGCACAGGAGTGGTCTCATGCGATTCAATGGACTTGCTCATGAGTTTTGATTTAAGGGTGTTAGGTAAGTATTTTGTTAGGCTGAGACCTCGGTTAATTTAATCCAAACTTAATACTGGAGATCAGAAATAACATATTTTGTCACAAACTTTTAAAGCTACAAAAAGAATCTTCACTGGAACATAGAAAAAAATGTGGGGTTTTTTTCAGATAAAAATGTTTCAGACAAAAAACATTTGTCCAGATCTTTGAACACACTAATATAGATTAAATACTCTGTGTTAGCTATTTTACAACAATGCCACTGATTATTATTAGCTGAGGAAGAGCAACAGAATGTATGTATATGTCCATCCTGCTGGACATATATATGATATATACATGTGATACAATATAAATCATATATATATATATGATCAGAAGCATTTATCAGCCCGATTGATAACTGGGAGAGCAATGTGCCAGATTAATAATTCTTTTCATTACTAGTCTCACAACAGCACAATTCTTCACATCAAAATCTAAAGAACTAACCTATGTATTTTCAGTATAAGCATGATCTGTGTGCACCTTTCCCATACTTTCTTGTGTCGTTTTTAGCTACTCCGGCTGCAGAAATAGTGCTGTTTCCCAGGCACTTATTTTGCTGCAGTATTGGCATTTCTGTGAGGGTGGCAGTAGTAAGTGCTGTACAGTTAATGCTCACTTAAATCCTTGCCATCAGAGGTTTACCATCAGCTAAGGGTAAAGGTGAAGTGGAAGCATGAGGGAATTCTTAATGGCTCAGGTAACAATAGATTCAACACAGTTATCAATGGTGAAAGTGGTGATTTTTGCAATTTTTTAATAGTTTTTTTAATCAGTTTCTATAAAGGGCTAGTGATTATAATCTTAATCATTTAAAAAAAAAATCCAGATTTAGATCAGATTTATGGCCTACCAAAACACGTTAGCATGTGCTTAACTTTATGTATGAATAGTACCACCAGTTTCAAGGAACATGTTAAGTTTATCTGGTATAAATCTTTTTTCTTCCAGAATAGGTTTCATGTCACAGGGATTTTTAACACGAAATTATGTAAAACTAATGGGTTTTCAGCATTTCACATATACAGTGTATGTGTTCACATAGCCTTATCTCCTAAAATAGTTAAAACTCAAGTATCAAACTTGATGACATTATTGCAATTTTAAGGTTTAAGTGTGTAATTATGTACATTAATGAATCAATATGTTATAAAAAAAGTTCAGACTATTTAGTCACAACAGCTGCGTATCAGACAGTAAAACAGCTTAATTTTTAAATTTCAAAATATAATCATATGAATATCTGTAATTTGAGATACAGCAAGTTTTCTGAGTTTAAAGAACTAATGTCAAATTATTTGATAATTTTGTTTAGTAAGACAATTCAAGGATGATAAGCAGGTCACTCCATCTTGGTCCCAGGACTTACACCTTAAAAGCACCAGTGTCACATCGCTCTTCCATCCTCCAGAGTGCAATCAAGAATATGACTTGCTCTTCACAGTACCTGATAACTGATGTTTATTACTTAGCATTAGTATATTTTTAATAATGATTGCATCCTGGCAGCAGTTTATTTCTACTACTTTATCTTCAAAAATCTGTCCTCCTGCCTCCCTCCTTTTGGCAGAACTTCGAGGAAATACAATTGGGCCATCTCACACATAACAGGCTGGATTCCACTTCTCTGCTTCAGAAGATGTATATGTCCCTGAAAGTTAGAGTAATGGCTGCTTCTAAACATTGCTGCCAGGGACTCAGTTATGGTGGTTTCAAACAGAATTTGTGATGCATCTACAATTCTCGCTTGTGCACTTTTTGTTCTTGCTTTGCTTCAGGTGATCGTGATTTCTGTGTCAGGACAGACTGACACAGTCCAAGGACATGATCAAAAAAATATAACTGTATCTAAAAAGAAAAAAACAATGACAGCAAGCAAACGGAAGGAAGGGGAAAAGAAAGGTAAGAGCACTTTCACCTTTATGGTCTTCTACTCTAATGGAAAAATGTTAAACATTATGCAGTTAATAGTCTGTGCCAATCCATATTTCTCAGGTCCCAAACAATCAAGTTGACAGTATGTATGCTCTTAATCAACAAAAAATGCAAAGTATGAATTGCCAGGTTCAACCTCAGTGAAAGAGATTTAAATCAGCACTTTAAATCCCCTTTCCACTGGGCTGTGAGTTCTCATCTTGGCTCACCTGGCTGATGGAAGTTTTTTAAGCCATAATAAACTTTCAAATTTCTGAATGCAGAGGAAAGACCTCCTAAGCATGTACATATACACAGATGGTGTTATTTTCCAAAGCGAGACTCATTTCAGCAGCCAGATGTTTGACACTTAACAAAAAACCCCACTTGCTAATTAAGGGACCCTAAATGCCAAAGTGTTTTAGAAAACCCTGCTCATATAGCCACTATTTGAGATTAATCAATTATTCTTTCTTAGCTGTATGTCCGTATTGAATAGTAAAGTTGGAAGTAGAGGTGACCATTTTTTTGTCCAATTTAGAGAAAGGGTGGAAAATGAAAAGCTCTCTGGTGATTCAGCATTCTTCTATATTGCAGATTTTTACTGTTCTTTTAGACTCTTACTGTATAATTGTTACTTGGACGTTGATTTATTCTTCAGAAGTGCAACTCCCTCATGTAGCGCATTTTAGCTCCAAATAAGGCTTAAATTCCAACATTATCAGAACATCTGTTTTACATATTTTTGCCTAAGTATTTTTTCTTTGTATACTGGGTGTATACATGTTATATCATTGCTGACAGAACATTTTATCCTTACTCCTCTCCCCGTTCTCCTCCTCAGGCAAGAACAAATATTTAACTGCACTTCTTTCCTCTCTTGCCTTACTGGTATGGGTAACCTAGACATTTTTGAGCAGTCCTGTAAATGAAGTGACTTATGTGAGAAACAATTATTTACATCTGTAAGTGTTTTGCAGGTTCTACCCCTTAATCTTTTTAATTAGAGACCTTAAAGACTTGGGCTTGCTTTTGGCTCTGTAAAACATAGTAACAACATTTGTGATACTGAATCTCTTTATATGGGTATGGGAAGAGGAAAAGAACATAATAAGGTCATAACCAATGTGAAAGCAAAGTCTTACTCTACGTACCTCTGTGTTGCTGAGCATAGTAAATTACTTCTCCTAAATCAGATTCTATTAAACCACACGTAGAAGAAATTACTGCTACAGAAGAGACACCTGATCCAAATGAAATCCCCCCTGTGGAAACAGAAAAGGATGCAAAAAGCAACCAGTGATCAGCAAAGAAGACTGATGAAAAGGCAGCAGTAGCAGAAATGGTTCCTCAGCCCACAGAAAGCTTGGATAGGCAGGGAAAGAAACTACTGGAAAAAAAGCCTTGAGCAAACCCCGCTGTTCTTGGATGAAGAATGTGATCTTGTTATGACCTGGATAGTAAGTTCAAGCTGAGATTTCATGGGTGGTAGACTAGCCATGATATTTTAACACAAAAGTTTATTAGTGTTTTTTTATAACATTTGTCATACTTCATAACTTTAAATGCATAGTAGATGGGCACTTATTATTTGCACTGTGGTCATTTCTAAGTATCTTAATAATGATCCATGTACTGACAAGGTGATTTTAATTACTAAAAAATGTCCATGATAAGCAGAGGTTATTAGAGCAAATCCTGTCAGGAGCTGACATATTTACTACTCTATAAAAGAATGTTGGTATCGGTTATGTGGCTCTGTTAATTGATATTTGTAGGCCATCACAACTTGAGGCAGACCTCGCTTGCTTTCTCAAGGAAACCATACATACAGTCCTCTTCATGCCATGTGGGCTGTACTCTTCACCATGACCAACGTGGCCACAGGGGAAGATCTCCAGAAACAAAACCATCTCCTATGGATGCAGGGGGGGCCATAAGTAGGTTTTCTTTTGATCTAAGTTTTTCATGCATACCTCTTTCATTGGGTGGATCAGGATGACATCTGGACATTTCTTATCACTGAGGCTCACGACTGCTCTTCAGTCCTCCCCACTTCATTAATTCCATCTTGGCCTTGGTGAGGTACCATGTATATAACATTAACCCATAAAGTATCAGCTGCCCCACATGCTCATTTCTCTCCACCCTTTTTGCTACAGCAAAATCATGTTTCTGCTTCCAAGACCTTCTAAACCCACTGTCCTCCTTCCCCTCAGTGACTCAGCCCAACACTTCCCCTTCTTCCCCTCACTAGGATCAGACCCACACGTTTCTTACAAGAGAGTGTAGCTTCATGGTCCATGTAAGTGAGGAATAAACATAAGCCAAGAATGTCTGCTTTAAATCATTACTGTGCTCATTCACATTCATTACTGTGTTCATTCACATGTTTATTACTGAGGATATAAGAAAACATGACTTGCTTGTGGATGCTTAGATACCTTGGAAGAAGCAGAGTTCAAGCTGAAAAAACAAACCAACAAAAAGAAAGGTCAGAATTTATTTTGTTAACATGCAAGCTAAGTTCAACTTTTAAGTGACTGGAATTTATTAAATACAAGAAATAAAAATAAGATATTTTAATTACTAGGAAAATATTTTTATTGATTTCAACTCTTAGAAGGCCCAACCATATTATATTGGGTTTTTTCCAGGTGGA